TTCCCTCTTTACTAGATAATTTGTCCTTCATATTCAGGAACCTTCTCTAACCATATAAATCTGAGCTATGACGTCTTTCTCTAGGATCTTTTAGCATTTTGCGTTTCACAGGCCATAACTTACAAAACTGCATTGTTTTGTAATACCTGATTTTTGTCCCTGAGCCAATGCCTCCCTCTGAACTTTAAGCTCCAGGAAGGCAGGAACCATGTGTGTTTGGTACCTCATTATATTCCAAGCCATTCATACAGTGCCTAGCATAGTATAAGCATCTAATCAATGCTTATTCAATGCAATGAAGGCTCTTCAGAGTGCTTTTCCATCCATTATCTCAGCGGGGGTAAAGTTGAACAATTTGGGGAGGATTTTAATGAAACATGAGATGTCAGTGGATTAGAAGATTAAATTATTTGTTGTTCCCAGTTGTTTTGCACTAACAGGAGGAAGGAGAATTTGGAGTCAGGAAAACTGGTTAGGGGAGTATAGAAGCATTCACTCCAAACCATAGAACAAAAAGGAACAGATTTTTGAACTAGTTCATACCATTTTAATAATCTCAACTTCCTTCTTACAAATAGAGTCCTATAACATTTATATATACATACATTGTTGTTGTTGTTGTTAAGTGCCGTCGAGTCGGTTCCGACCCATAGTGACCCTGTACAGGGTTTCCGAGGGTGTACATTTATATATACATACATACATATATATATATACACACATATTAATTACATACACAAACACAATATTTGAAGGTGTCAGATTGGTCATTTTTTTTCTTTCTTTCTTTGCCCCCCCCCTTCAAAGAACTTTAAGTAATATGATCTAAAAATATTTATGTCCTTTGCTTAGTGAAATTTTTTTTTTTTAAGGCAGGTCCACATCATTGAGTAATTGGTAATTGATTTAATTATAGTTTGTCTGTTTCCAAAAAAAAGAGATGAATTAAATTTTAAAAGATTCAATTGGGTTTTAAAAGTAGGGATAAAGAAGTAAGCACCAATTTATAAAAAGAAATCTAGGCTAATAAAACCTAGATATAAGGTAAATTAATTTAAAGACAAAGTTAAGTCTGGAAGTCAAGGCAAAAAATAGGAATTTGCTAAGATGCATTGCTTGCCAGATGGGATAGTTGTAGTACTAAATGCTAAGAGAATGTATTACATGGATTTTATTGAAATACTTATGAAAAATAAAATAGAGAAATGCATTACTAGCAAATTTACAAAAAAGAAAAAGGAAGAGTCATTATGAAGAAATTTTTCTATTTACTCTGAATAAAAGCTAACACATAATTTTAGCTTACTTTTTTGTGAATGCTTTGTTTTGTGTAGATTAAAAAAAAATAGTTCAGATGCCATGGCATAGTAGGAAGAATCGAGTGGAGATAAACAGATACGGGTTAATTCCTGGATTTACTGTTTAACTTTTGTCAAGATACTTAATTATTGGTTTCATAGTAATTTGGAAGTAAAATGCCTTCTTTATTGGGCTATTATAACAAACTTGACGGCACCTAACAACAATAACAATTCAGAAAAATTATGGAAAATTATCTTACAGAGTTCTTGAACATTATGGCTATATCCGTTCACTAGAAGAAAAAAACAAAACAAAAGCTTTACTCTTCTTGTCTTCCTCAGCATTTAAGAAACATGTGTGGTATATCTTTTTAGTTTATTCTCAAGTATGAAATTCCCAAAGCTAGACAGCTGATGATTCAAGATAGACTTTGCAGTCAAATACCTGAAGGGCAGGTCACATTAGATAGCAATTGTGTGGGTTGCAAAATGAATGTCGTGTTTCAAAACTATTAAAGAGAGTTCAATGTCATATGGTGATTGTCAGCTTCTGCATGGTGGTGGTGTGCCATTGAGACAGATCCAACTCACAGTGACCTGCATAGGATTTTTGAGGCTGTAGGCTAAGCACTAGACTGAAAGGTTTGAACCGCAAGGTTGGTGAATCAAACTCATAAGCTGCTCCTCAGAAACCCTGTACAAAGTCTCTATGAGGTGGAAATTATGTTATAGCACTTACCAACAATAAGAACAAATATTTTGGGGAGCAGAAAGCCTCATCTTTCTCCCAAGGAGCACCTGGTAGATTTGAACTGCTGATCTTACAGTTTAGAATCTAGTAGGTTACCAGGGCTTCGGTAGAATGTCAAATATTCAAAGAAAAGGAGGTCAAGACTTTTGAAAAACAATCTATAATCCACTTTCAAACCCAAACTCAAACCCCCTCCCATTGAGCCAATTCTGACTCACAGTGGCTCTTAGGTCTGAGTGGAACTGCCCTCATAAGATTCCAAAGGGTGGATAGAAGCAGACTGTCCTATCTGTCTCCTGTGGAGCACTTGGTGAATTCAAACTGCTGATCTTTCAGTTAGCAGGTGAGAGCTTAATCACTGTGTAATCAGAGCTCCTTGAATCCACTGAGTAACTAATTGATTCACTCAACTAATTAAGATATTTTCATTTGGATCCCCAAATCCTTCCTAAAACATAGAAGATACATGCTTGTGTAGAACATCCTTAGGAGATGCTATCACTGCAAGAAAATGGTCCTCATGTAGATTTCTGTTGTTGTTTTAAGAACTATCAAGTCAGTTCTTGGTGACCCTGTACTGGGTTTCTGAGGAGCAACTTGTGAGTTTGAACCACTGACTTTGCAGTTCAAACAGACCTTGTAGTCTAGTGCTTATCCTACTGTGCCACACCAGAATAAAAAGATGCTTAGTTTTGATCAGCCCGTACTGTAGACCAATGATTTTATGAGATGAGCTAACTCAAAAACATATCCCAGATAACTAAATAAACTGACACATGAGTGGATTTGTTTTGAAGTTTCTGGTTGTATTTGACTATTAGGATTATAAATCAGCAGGTTTCTTGGTATGAGGGTCACATGACTAGTTTATGTAAGAAAGTTTGCCATCTTGTTTGCTAAGGCAAAAGACAGGTTTCATTTAAAAATAGCACAGAATTATTTCAGTTTCAAAATTAAACAGAAGTATGTTGTTGTTAAATGCCATAGAGTTGATTCCAACTCACAGTGACCCTGTATAAGGTTTCCTAGGAGCAGCTGGTGGATTTGAACTGCTGACCTTATGGTTAAGAGTCCGGTGCTGATTCTACAACACCACACCGGGGGTACAGGGTTGTTTAATGTGCTTTAGAATCAGAATTTACTCTGTCAAAACCCTCTTGACTTATAAAACTTGGGAGAAGCACTTAAGCTTGGAGATCACACTGAGACCAAATGGCTTAACACGTGGATGTCCTTGTTGGTAGAGTCGAAGACTAGAAGAATTAATCGGTACTAGGAGTCTTGGTGAGCTCTGGTAGCATAATGGTTACAAATCGGCCTGTGAACCGCAAG